GGCCCTCACAGCTGTAGTGGCCAATGTGGTTCAGTTGCAGAGGGGATAGGGACAGCTCGGGGCCATCAGGGAACACCCCCAGTTCCTTCCCCTTGTGGGACAAGAACACCTTGGTGACCGTGCTGTTCCACCAGCTCCGGCAGCACAGTGTCACCATGTCTCCCTCCAGCAGCACCCGTGCCAGCACCATCAGCACCAGATAGTCTGGGGGACAGAGGGGTCCTGTCATACCCACTGGCACCGGGACCCCCCCCATTGCATCACATCCCGGGCACCAGGGGTCCCCAGTTCCAACATGTGGGTCCCCCACACTGGGATGCTCTGGGATGTTCCCAGAGCAGGGAACGGACTCTGGTAACACCAGGAATGACCCATCAAGGTCTCTGCGACACAGATGTGGTGCATGGATGGCTGTGACACAGACATGTCCCCCTGCCTTGCCAAATCTTTTGGGGACCACCCATATGCACTTTCCCACTCAGCACTGTTGGTTTTTGTGGCAGTTATAACCGTGGCCAGCAGGGGGCGCCCCAGTCGAGCTCCATCCCCTCAGGGGCCACGGCGGCCTTGGACAAGAGGGAGGAAGGGAAATCGCTCCTTTTGCAAACTCATGGGCACCAACTGGTTCTGCCACCACCACTGGCAGCGGGCAGAAGCCATGAAGACAGCAGGTTGGATCCTAGTGCCCCCTGGCAGCATAGCCAGGCAGGCACATGCCCTACCCAACACCCATGTTAGCTCTCCATGATTCTGAATGGAAGGAAGGCAGCAGCAGACCCCAGGCAGTTTTTGGGTCCACAGCAGCCCCTCTGGTGGCTTTACACCACAATTCCTACAAACTCTCAGGCCTTCACCCTCTTTTCCTCCTTCATCCCAGGCACACCAGCTCTGGGAATGTTGAATTGCCCTGAGATGTTGAGGAAAGCTGGTGCTCGATGCTGACTCTGCCAGGTCTCCTCAGGTGGCTCCAGAGCACGTTTGGAGTTCCTGCTCTTCCTGGGCCGCTGCTGGTCCTGACACTGCAGCCACAGGGGGAAGAGGAGGGGGAGGAGAGCAGAGCTACAGCCCCGAGGGCTCTGCAACTGCAGCTGGAGCACAGGGACAGCCCAGACTGTGAGCAGTGCTTTAGGAGGCCAAAATGGGGTGAAATTGGAGCTGGCTGGGCCAATGTCCCTGTTCTGCTCTGGGAGCTGCAGATCCTTAAGGAGATGTTGTAATTAGGGCAGGGTTCCTAAAGTTCATCCATGGTCCTAAACCATCCCTGTGCACAAACACACAGCTTCATTGCCTCCCCTGGGGATTTTGCGCTATGCAAAGCAGCATTGGACACAATTTGGGGGTCAGATGCCTCCAGCTCTGCCCACAAGGTGCTTTCTTTACTGCCGGGAAGGTTATTTTTTTTTTGCTGGTGCTGGGAATTTATTCATTGTCTGTGCCATGTGGCCACTGCTTCACACTGGCCAGCCAGGAAGGCCGAGCTGGAGCAGTGGCTGAGGCAGGAGTGGCTGGAGCAGATGGCCCACAGTAACATCACCTGGCCATGCAGGTGGAGCAGGAGCGCCGAGAATTCTGCAAGGTGCTCGGGTGAGGCCCACGGGGCCAGGCCGTGGTGGGGCACCACTTGCCATTCCTGCCCCCCCCACATTTTGGGACAGAGCAGTGACATGTATCGGGCTCCCAAACCCCTCAGGGCTCGGGTACAGCCTCAAAGGAGGTCCCAGCCCAGGCTGTGGGGATGATTCTCGTGCTCCCGGACTCATTACCAGCAAAGGGCAGCATTCCGGGAGTGGTCAGCACATCCCAAAGGAGCAGCCTGGGGCTGCTGGAGCCCGAGTGCTATGGGCAAGGATGGCATGATGGAGATGGGCCCCACTCAGCCGGCACTGCCTGAGGAATGTCTCATCCTGCAGGAGCTCGGCAGCCTCTCCAGGTGCTGGCCCTGGGGCTATCAGGGGGTGCGGCCGGAGGAGCCGGGATGGAGGGACCGGGACCCCATTGGGGAGCCCCGAGCATGGAGGGAGCGAAACGGTGGAGGAGAGATGCCCAGATGAGGGGGAGCAGAGACCCTGTGGTGGGATCTGTGGAAAGGAGGGACCGCAATGGTGGTCCCGGAGCATTGGGAAGGGGCCTGGCTGCCATCGCACTGTGAGTGCCAGGACAGTCACGGGGTGTCTGAACCGACTGTGTAAGCATGTCCGAAGCCACTGTTGTGATGTGTCGGGACCAAGTGTTGCCAGAGTAAGGCCCCCACAGCTCCGGTAAGTGGAGGAGTACCATGGAAGGGGCAGGGCTGTTTACTCCCTGTGCCCTCTGCATGTGAGGAGGGCAGGGATGGAGCAGCTTTGGGGACACCTGGAATCCACACAGGGTCACTCCCCACAGCCCCACCATGGCCGCAGGCAGGGCCACTGATCGATCGATATTTCCACACTTTTCCCTCTTGTATGGCAGCTGGGCCAGAAACCAAATATTCTTCCCGGGCCATTCCAAAGGGCTGCAGATTTGAGATACGAAGGAGTAGGGACCTAGTCAGGTTTTTGTGCAAAACTTTATTGTCTTTGTAGGGCTTTTGGAGCTATCTCAGACTTTTGTTGCAAGGGACAAAGTCATCAATTGCTGAGTTTCCGGACTGGTTCCCCCAGCTGTCCCTGCAGAGGGGGTTTCCAGCCAGCCCTGCTCTGAAAACCAACAAAGGCCCTCTCAGAACCACTGCTTGGGCTCCCTTTGGGGTTTTTGCTTCTTGCAGGGCCGAGCAAACCACAGGCAGGCCTTTTTCCCCCACAGAATTCTCACCTCTGCAGCAGCTCTAAAGCTGACAGAAACAAAGCCAAGGTGGTGGGGGGCACCCTCAGGTCCTGGCTATTGCTGGCCAGGGGTCTATGTACATATCACAAGCAGGATGGGACTGCTGAGGAAGGCATCTTGAGCTGTTTATTTTCTACCATCTGTCTCATTACATGGTTATGGCAAGGGGAAGACGTCAGCAGCTCACATCCTCTGCAGCCGTGGAAGAACTCAATGTTACAAGTTACTTTAAAAGCTTTTTCACCAATTACACAAAGCAAAAGCATACTGACAGTAGCTCTATCCAATCACTATAAGCACACGTACCTTCGGTTAAAACAATGCTTGCTTATTTCAAATACAATACCTGCTTGTAAGCCTTAAAACACAATGCACAGAGCTCCATTATTAAGCTTAGAACTTCCTAACATCTTGCTAGATATACTTTTCTTTAGCTTAGGGAGTTATTCTATCCAAGCATTAATACACAGACCATTGTTCTATTTGTCCTTACTTTTCTCCTTCTTACATAATTTTTCTGCTGACAAATCTTATGCCTGCTGCTTAGCTCTAATTGCAATTCTGCTGTTTCTGAGGCCTGCTTTTTGCAGCTTTCCCAAAATGCTCTGATTTTAAGGCTTCCCACCCTGGCTGTCACCTGGATCTGGCCAGAGCAGGGCTGGCCAATGGCCATCCCTGTACAGTGAGACGGGTCCATGGCTGGGTCCCACCCTCGGATTGACAGCGGTCCCTAGGATGTGCCAACCCTGGGACAGGCACCCAACCAGGAATGTGCAGGGACATTTCTGGAACTGCCAGCCCCTGGGACAGGACTGCCATGCCAGGACGTGCCACCCCCTGGACTGGTTTCCCCCAGGTCACCCCCAGAACAGGGACCTCCCAGGACAGGCCCCCCTGGATGTGTCCCCCCAAGAGAGACACCACCCCCTTTCCCATCTGACTCTCAGCACAAACAGCCTCTTCCTTCTTGTCCAGGAAAAGGAAAGTGAAAGTGTTCAGGGAGCACAGCCCAACACCCCCATCCCCCAAAGCCTTCCCCCCCTCTCCCTGCATCCCCCACACCCATACCCTCCACCCCAGTGTTACCTGCCCAGGTGCTCCTGGGGATCGCTGAGCCATGAACTGGGAATGGGAGTGTACAAAAGTGAGGAAAATAAGAAAAAAATTGAAACAAAGAGAGGAACATCATGGGAAGCCCCTAGTGTTCCCCCCAGACCAGTAACACTGTGGAGGTCTCTGTTTTTGTCTGTGTCACCCTGATATCTGAGGCAGCCAGAGAAGGAGCTGCAACCCACCTGTCTACCCAGCCACTGCCCATCCTGGGCACCCCCACTCCCCTGGGACCCCAAACATGGGACCTCATTCTCTAGGTTCTGTCTCCTGGGGATCCCCATCCCAGGATGCTGATTTCCCAGGATCTCCATTGCCCAGCACTCCCCTCCCCTTGATCCCATCCCATGGGCTCCCCAGTCCCCTAGAACCCTCCATCCCTGGGACCTGCATCCCATGATCCCAAATTCCTGGGGCCTACATTCCCCTGGGACCCCTATCCCTGGTCCCCCCCAGCCATGGGTGATGCTGTTAAGTCAGGGACAGAAAGAAAGACTCCAGTCTCCAGGTGGATCAGAAGGTAAAAGGGTTTAATGAACATAGTGGGATTTTTTATAATGTGACTTGCTAAGGTGATATTTGATTGGTCTCAAAGTAGAAACATCTCACACTATTGCGTACTATGAATAGTTCACTCTGGAGAACTATATCTATAAGCAATGGTTACAGATAGAGAGATAATAATTGTTTTAATTCTTTACTTCTAAGATTCCCAGGCTCAGCTTGGGAGAAATTGTCTCTGTTCTTTCTTTGATTGAACTGAGGATATCCACCCATGGGGACCCACATTCCTCAGGATTCCCATTCCCTGGGTCTCCCCTTCCTCAGGAGCCCCATTCTCATGGCACCCCAATTCCCCAGGAACCCTACTCCTGGGCTGCCCTGCTCCTCTGGAAATCCCTCCTTAGCTCCCCACATCCCTGGAGCCCTCAAGTCCTGGGGTCCACTGGGTCCGACCATGTGCAACTGAGTCCCTCTACATCCCCAGCCACTCCCCTCCCTGCCCCCACCAAGTGCCACCTACACATGGGGACACAATGTGACCTCGCTTCCTTCCTCTTTGGCCAAAGAGCCTCCATCTGGGAGGGAGCGGTGGGCACAGCAGCAAACGACACCCAGTCCACATGGCTGGGGACAGCAAGATGGCCAGGAGCATGGCACTGCTCCTGTGGGGTGAGTATCCTAGGCATGGGCCTGAGGCCCTGGGGATGGGCCTTGATGAGGCAGAGATGGCTGGGGAGGGGGCACAGGGGGGCTGTCGGGTCCCCTGAGATCCCCATGCCAGCAGAGCCAGTGCATAGAGGCATGGAGGTGGACACTAATGAGACGGGGATTGTGGTGTGACTGGGGGGACAGGAACAGAAGGACAGGAGTAGGGGGACTGAAATCTGGGGACAAGGATATCATGACAGCCACATTGGGACTGGGGCAGCTGTGGTGACAGGGACAGGGTAACAGGGATGCAGGGACAGGGACAAAGGGACAAACACCTTGCAGATGGGCCATGGGGACAGGTGCCACAGGCTGGTGGAGATGACCTGTAGCAGCATGGGGTTTCTGTGATATCCTCACACTCAAGGTGTTCACAGTGTCCCCATGCCCTGCCTCAGCCTGAGGCAGTCGTAGTATCCCTGTCCCTCAGATGTCCATGCCACAGGGATGTGGCTCATGGACAGCTGTGACAGAGACATGTCCCCTGGCCTCTCCAGACCTGTTGGAGGCCATCTCTGAGGGCTTTCTCAGCAGTGTCCAATTGGGAACACATTGGGGGCAAACCCCAGACCCTGTCCCCCAGCTGCAGCTTTCCCCACAGAACCATGCCCACACAGCCTTGTCCTTTCTCCCTTCCAGCCCAGACCCTTGGCCTCGCTGGTGAGTCGTCAGAGAATGCAATGTCCCCACCCCACTGTACCCAGCCCCGCGCTGGCCCTGGCAGGCTGGTGTCCCCTGTCACCCACAGGTGCCCAGACTACCCAGCTCCTTGTGGAGCCCCCCTGGAGGCCAGCAGTGCTGTGGGACCGGGTGACACTGACCTGCCAGGGCTTGGGGACCGCTGGTGCCACCACCTGGTACAAGGACGGGCAGCGCTGGTGGCAGAAGGGACCCGACCACTTCACTGTCACTGAGAGCGGCACCTACCAGTGTGACAGACCCAGCAGTGTGCTCAGCTCCCCAATGCGCATCTTAAATGGTGAGGGGTGATTTGTGCCCTGGCACCCTCAGGGTCCCCAAGAGCTCTGGGTGGGGTCCATTTCCTCGGTCACACCCCCCTCCATGTGAGAACCTGTCCCCTGCACACAGGGACATCCCAGAGCATCCCAGTGCATTGAGACCCCCTGTTGCAATGGGGGACCTTGATGGCTCCCAAGGCCTTTACGATCCCCCAGATTCTCCAGATGTGACACATGCTTCCTGTCCCACAGAGCGTCTTGTGCTGCAGCTGGAGGCACGCATGCTGATGGAGGGGGACAGGGTGACACTGCGCTGCCGGGGCTGGCAGGATGGCACGGTCACTGGAGTACGATTTTACCACAAGGAGAAGGATCTGGGGGGGCCTATCAAAGGGACTGAGCTGTCCCTGTCCCCTCTGCAGCTTCACCACAGTGGCCGCTACCGCTGTGGGGGCTGGGTGAAGTCTGGGCCATCCCTGTGGTGGGAGAAGTCAGCAGCAGTGACAGTGACAGTGACAGTACATGGTAAATGTGGGAATAGGGTTGGGAAACCTCAACATCTTCCCAGCTTTCCTCCACCAGTGCCTGGAAGATGGATGCAAGACAGACAGAGGATGGATTCTGAGTCACGAGTTTTCACACTTTTATGAGTTTTGGTCCATTTAAATATTGGGGTTAATTGTCCAATTGCAGCTTCAGGTTATGAAGTCCCATCCTCCCAGATTGCTCTCCTCAATTTGCTGTTGTTGATACTTTTTGGGCCTGCAGGTGCAATGGTGTCCTTGGTTCTCAGGCTGGAAAAGGATTGTTTTCTCTGACTAAACTGTGAAGAGAACTTTCTAACACTTTATATGAAGTTCAGAGTTATAAACTAGTAGTAGAGAATCTAGTAAATATGAAAACTCAAGCTTAAGCCATCAGGGGGACAGGTGGCACTGGGGTACCACCTGGTGCCAAGAGGGGTGGTGGCCACCGGGACAGGTCCTCTTTCCTTCTCCTGGCACACAGGGTGCTTGGGGGCACTGCCAGGAACTGGTCCCTGCGTGGAGCTGCGCCACACTGGGGACAATGACAGCAGCCACTACCAGTGGGGGGACAGCAACAGGGACAGTGTGGTGGAGAGTGTACCCCTGATTGTCAGTGCCCTGGGTGAGCAGGACTCTCGGGCTAAGGGTGACCTCACCCATGACACCCCCATCCCACCTCACCATGTGCCAGCCCTGTCTGTGTCCCCGCAGTGCCTGTGGCCAATGCCACCATCACCCCTGGTCCCCTGTCACACCAGGTGCGCGCAGGTGACAACGTGACCCTGCGCTGCTTGGTGCAGGTGGGCTCAGACCCTGTCACCTTCACCTGGCTGCACAACGGGCAGGAGGTGGCCCGGGGTCCCATCCTGGAGCTGGGGGACATCGATGTGGGACATTCGGGCACCTACCAGTGTGTGGCCACCAATCAGCTGGGACAGGACGGGCAACGCATGTTCCAGGCACTCAGCCCAGAGCTGGCCCTCGAGGTGACCCGTCGCTCACCCTGGGTCACAGGTAGGGTCACATGGTGTCACCGGGTGTCACAGCACCCCCATGGTTCAGGGTGACCTCACTGGGTCCCTCTCTTTCCTCAACAGTGGCTGTGAATGCTGGCAGGACCCTCCTGTTCCTTGTCCTTCTCCTGGCTGTCATCGGGGGCTGTCACTGGTGGCACCACTGGGGTGAGTGACAGTCAGGGGAGATGGGGGTCCTGGAATGAGCAGAAGTCCCCAGAGTGGGTGCAGAGATCAGCAGCACCCTGGGCCCCTGAGCTGGGGGAAACTGAGCCTGCAGTGACCTCGGCTGGGCGTCCTGGGGGGTCTGAAGGGAATTTGGAAGGTCTTGGTTGGAATCCAGGGCCATCTCTGGGTGGGCATTGAGGAACATTGGGGTGGCACTAGGAGCTCCTGGAGGGTTGGGGGAGTTTCCTGAAGGCCGTGCAGGGATGTTGGAGGATCTTTTTTTGGGGAGTTTGGGGGTGCCCCTCCCTGCGAGGCTTGGGGTTCTGAGGGCTCAGAGGGTCTGGGATGATGGAGGTGTTTGGGGCCCTGCAGTGATGCAGAATTTCTGGGGGGTTCAGGGGGTCCAGTGGGAATCGGGGCTGCAGTGGGGATTTGGGGGTCCCATGGGTGGTTGTAGCTGCTGACGTCCCAGGAAGGTTCAGGGGTCCCAGTGTCCACATGGTCACCCCCTTCTCTTTCCTTGCAGCCTGCAGGAACCCCAGGACCAGTGACTGGGGATCAACTGCCAGGACTCCCCTTTTCCCTTCTCCAGACACCACCCTGACTCCCCTTATCCCCACAGGACCCCCCTGAAGGGGGCAGTGCTGGACCCCATGTCATGGGAATTGAATGGGTAGGGGGTGTGTAGGAGGGGTGATAGGGGGATATCAGCCATGGGTGTCACCCCCCACCCAGTTCTCCACAACTGTTGTCTCTCACAGGATCTCCCTTCACCACATCCCGCCAGGTGACCAACATGGTGCTGTCAGGACCCCAAGAGTGACAACAGGACCCCAGTGACATCTATGAGAATGTGTTGTGACACTGGGGACACTGGGGGCACTGGGGGTCCCTGCCTGAGGACACCCCCTGTGTGTCCCCCCTGCCCCAGCTTCTGTGAGTGCCCACTGTGCCTGGGGGTTGGCCACGAGTGGGAGTCCCATATGGCCTGCCCAGAGCTCCCAGTGCTCCCAGTACCCCCAGGGGCTCCCCATTCCTTCCCCCCAGTGCCAGGGGGCACAGGACCTATGCCCCTCTTATTGGACCCAAAATGCAGCTCTTTGATTAAACTGTGAGAAATGGTTTTTGTTTGTTCAGCTCTGCCTGGTCAGCTCGGAAAGGAGGAGGGTCATGGTCAGGTTATTGAGCAGATGGTTCTGGGATTTGCAGAATTTTTGGGACTCCCTCAGTCCCTTGGGACAAAATGATCAGTTGCTGCATTTCTGAACTGGTTCCCTTTCAGCTGCCCCACAGCAGGGAAGGAGCTGCCCCTCCCTGTTTGTCCCCTCTTGGTGACATCCAGCCGCCGGCTCAGGGATCTTCCGTGGTGCCGCCCCATGACCTTGGGCATCGATTCAGTAGCTGCTGAGCCCCTCAGGCCAGGCTGGAGCTGAGCAGCAGCAGGAGCACCCTGAGAGCAATGAGAGCCCCAGGCTGAAGCTGGGGAGGCCAGGGCTCTCCCCAGATGTCACCATAATGCCTGTCTCAGCTCCAGCCCTGCACGCTGCTCCCGGTGCCCCAAGCCCCACACCCACTGCTCCCTGAGCAGAGTTGAAGCTGGGGAGGCCAGGGGTCTCCCCAGATGTCACCATAATGTCTCAGCTCCAGCCCTGCACGCTGCTCCCGGTGCCCCAAGCCCCACACCCACTGCTCCCTGAGCAGTGTTTGAGCCCCAGAGCTGCTGTGGAGCCTTGGCCGGGCCCAGCCCTGGGGTGGGCAGGGGTGCTGGAAGGTGCCAGGAGGGCAGAGGGGACCAGGGACGCTGGGGAGGAGGCCCTGGCACTGTGGGAACCAAGTCCTGGCCTCGGGTCACTGTCGCGGGTCATGGATGCCATCACACTGTGAGGGCCAGTGCCAGCACTGATAGAGATGGCACCCTGTGGTTTGCACGCATGGAGCCAATTTATTGATTTGGAAAGCTCTGTTTATATACCTTTTCAGCTACAGCTATAATTAGCAGCAATAACAATGTTTACGTTTCTTAGTAACATCTCTTAATCATGGCTTTGCACAGACTCACACAGGCAGGTACAGTCTTGCATATTTCTCTCAAACAAAGCGTACCAAAAACACCATTATCTTTTGCTTCCTCCTTCAACATTCTGCTTTCTGTTGCCAAGGGCTTGTGGCCTACTAGGGCTAAAATCCATGTCAGTTACATGCTGAGCAGTACTTTCAGTCCTTCTTTCTGACCATATTCCCATATCTCCCTCTTTCTTTTCCACCAGTAAAATCTTTTTTGTGGATTTATCAATTAGTCTTCGAACACATGGTAAAACACATGGCAAACAAATCACCATAAGCAACAATACTGCTAAAATATAAATTCCTATTTTAACTAAATTTTTAAGCCAGCCCATAAGCCCCCATCGCTCAAATATTTGTTCAAGACAATCCCCATCGCTAATTTGCAATTTAATTACACTGTGTTGAAGGGCTTGTATGCTAGTGTGGATAGACTGAGAATGGTTAGACAGATTCATGCAGCATAAGCCTTCAAAGCTTCACAGCCATATCCTGGCAGTCTTACTTCTGTTCTTGTCTTGCTCACGAGGGCTGTGTGGAAATTAGGGAATTTTTCTTTTTTCTGGGCCTTATTCTCCTGGAGGAGATCGATGTTTGTCCAGACGAACAGGTAACTGCTTTGGACCTGTTGGTGATAAAACACGTGCCTACCTTCCCCTAGGTTAGTAAATGAGTTAGGCCTTATCACTGTACTGTTGCTATGATATTTTAGTGAAAAAGCCTCTGCTAGGATTTTTCCTGTCCTGAGGAGCTGAGGGCCTCAGGCGAACCATTCCTGTATAAGATTTCCAAGTTCACTCTGAAAGGGGTTCCAGGTAATATAGGTCCAAATTTGGTAAGTCAAAATGACCAGAGTAAAGTTTTGTTGCAGAAAACCCCTGGGCACGGTGGGCGCCCATGGGAGCTGGGGAATGGGGATACACATGGGGGTGCCCTCGGGCAGGGACCCCAGTGCCCCCCGAGCCCCCAGTGTCACAGGAAATTCTCGTAGATGTCACAAGGGTCCTGCTGTCATCCATGGGGTCCTGACAGCTCCACGTTGCTTACTTGGGGAGATGTGGTACAGGAGAGCCCTGTGAGAGACACCGGGTTTATTTATCACTGCCAACCCCCCATACTCACCCCCTGCCCACTTGGTGCCTACAATATGGGGGTCCAATAACACCGTCTAACCCAGGACCATCCTGTGGGGAAAAGGGGGGTCTAGGTGGTGTCTGGGGAGGAGGAACGGGGCTTCCTGACCCAAGCCCCCCACTCACCTGTCCTGAGGCTTCCTGGAGGCTGCAAGGAAAGAGGAGGGGGTGACCATGGGGACACCAGGACCCCTGAACCTTCCTGGGACCTCAGCAGCCCCAACCACCCATGGGACATGCAAATCCCCACTGCAGCTCAGATTCCCACCAGACCCCTGATTCCATAGGACTCTCCAAGCATCCCTGAACCCCAAGAAGTTCTGCACCACCGCAGTGCCCCCAAGCCCCCAGTGTACTAAAACCTCTGAGCCCTCAGAACCCCAAGCCTGGTAGTGAGGGGCACCCCCAAACTCCCCCAACACCCCAAGAAGATCCCCCAACATGCTTGCACGACCTTCCAAGAACTCCCCAAACCCTGCAGGAGCTCCCAGTGCCACCCCAATGTTTCTCAATGCCCACCCAGGGTTGACCCTGGAGCTCAACCAAGACCCTCCCAATTACCATCACATACCCCAGGACCACCAGCTGAGGTCACTACGGGCTCAGTTTCCCCCAGCTCAGGAGCCCTGGGTGCTGCTGATCTGTGCCCCTACACTGGGAGCTTCTCCTCAATCCAGGACCCCAATACGTCGCCATTGCCACCCAGCCCAGTGGTGCCACCAGTGAAAGCCCTCCATGAGAGCCAGGAACAGGATAAGGAACAGGAGGGTTCTGCCAACATTCACAGCCACTGTGGGGACAGAGGGACACACTGGGGTCACCCTGAAACCCAGGGGTCCTGAACACTTTGACAACCCCACCTGTGATGCAGGGTGAGTGATGGGTCACCTCGAAGGCCAACTCTGGGCTGAGTGCCCAGAACATGCATTGCCCATCCTGTCCAAGCTGGTTGGTGGCCATGCACTGGGAGGTGCCCGAAAGTCCCACATCGATGTCCCCCAGCTCCAAGAGGGGACCCTGGACCTTGTGCCATTCGCACAGCCAGGTAACATTGACGGGGTCTGAGCCCACCTGCACCGAGCAGCGCAGGGTCACGGGGTCACCTGCATGCACCTGGTGTGCCAGGGGACCAGGGGTGATGGTGGCATTGGCCACAGGCACTGCGGGGACACAGACAGGACTGGCACTTAGTGAGGTTGGATGGGGGTGCCGTGGGTGGGGTCACCCCCAGCCCCAGGGTCCCGCTCTCCCAGGACGGTGACATTCAGGTGGACACTGAGCCATGCTGTCCCCATCACTGACCCAGCACCGGTAATGGCTGCTGTCCTTGTCCCCCAAGTGGCACAGCTCCATGCAGGGGCCAGTGCTCAGTGGTGCCCCCAAACCCTCCCTGTGCCAGGAGAATGACAGGAGACCTGACCCCATGGCCACCACACAGCTCAGCACCAGGTGTTCCCCACGTGGCACCCATCTGCAGGGGGGCTGTGCTGACAGAGACAGCCCCAAGGGCAGGACCCCTGCATGGGGAGGGGGGACACCAGTGAGGGACCTGGGGGTGGTTGGTTAGGGGCAGTGACACCCCAGTGAGAGGGGGGCAGGGCTTGGAAAGGAACCCCACAGGGGGATGGGGCGTTCAGGGAAGGAATACCTGGAGAGGGAGGGGTGTGACACCAGGAAGGGTATCCAGGGATGCAGGGAGGGCATTGTGTGACCTGGGAAACGTGCAGTTACTTCAGAGAGGAGTGGGGGGACCCAGTGAGGAATGGGGAGACATGAGCCAAGAATGGGGGATCTGGGGAGGGGTCTGGAGCAGAGATGGGGGGACACAAAAAAGGTGTCAGGGAAGGATGGGAGGTACCCATGTAGGGAGTGGGGACCGGGCGAGGGACCTGAGAAAGGGCGGGGGGAGCAAAGGACGGATCCGGGAAAGGTTGGGAGCCCCAGGGCAGATGTCAGAGAGAGCTGAGTATCCCTAGGCAGTAATGAGAGACCCAAGGATGCTGTGGGGGCTCCCCATGCCAATCCCTGCACTCAGTGCACACTGTGACACGGAGCTGGGCGCTGCTCTTATGCATGGTCCCCCCATGGGAGCACACCTCACAGCTGTAATTCCCTGAGTGGGAGACCCCCACGGCAGGCAGCAGCAGCTGCGGAGACCCCTGTGGGCCCCCCACCACCTGCCTGTCCTGGTAGAACACGTGCAGGAGGGGATCTCGGGGCCACAGGGGGCTGGGGGTGCTGAGGCATCTAAGATTCTGGGAAGACCCTTGGGTGGGCTCAGGGGGACCCTCCAGCACCAGCACGGGAAGAGCTCTGGAAAGGAGACAAAAGGGGGATTTGTGATGCAGATTCCCTAAGGAGGCGCTGTGAGGGTATAGGGGTGGTGGCTGTGGGGTGCTCACCGTGCACTGTCACTGTCACCAGTGCTGAATTCCATGATCCCCCTGATCACGAGGATTTCACCTGGCCCCTGCAGCTGTAGCAGCCACTGTGGTTCTGCTGCAGAGGGGACAGGGACAGCTCAGTGGCATAGCAGAGCACCCCAGGTTGCTTCCCCTCACGGTAGAAGAACACCGAGGTGACCAGGCTGTCCAGCCAGCAGCACGGTGTCACCATGTCCCCCTCCAGCAGTGCCTGTACTGGCGCTTGCAACACCAGCCAGTCTGGGGGGCAGAGGGGTCCTGTCACACCCGATGGCACCAGGACATCCCCACTGGGTCGTGCCCAGCATACCAGGTATCCCTGATTCCAACATGGGGTTCCCCCACACTGGGATGCTCTGTGATGTCCCCAGAGCAGGGGATGGGCTCTGGTCACACCAGGAGGAGACCCATAGAGTGGAGCCCACCCAGAGCCCTCAAGGTCC